GCTCAACTCAAGAGTGGAATTACTTGGAGTTCTCAGAATGCATCCGACTGTTTCAAGCCTTCCTAAATGCTCTTCCCTGTGCCTGGGATGCCCTTCCCTCAGTGTCAGTCTTGCTACCTCCCATTCGTCCATCAGTATTCTAGCCAAACATCATCAATGTCAGGCAGACTCCCAGCTGATCCAGGTGTCCAACTCGGGGCTCCCGTGTGACCCTGAGTGTATGGGCATTTAGCAATCTTTTCCTGATTTGGGAGCACTATCATAGTGCCTTCTGGGCCTTCTCCACTACCCAAGTGGTAAGCTCCTTGCAAGCAAAGCCTCATCTGACACATTTCTGTGCCCTGACTCCTAGCCCTCTCCTGTCTTCCCCCACAGAAACCCTAGAACTGGGCTGCAGCTGACCACTGGGAGGACAGAAAAGACTGTTAGACCAACTGTATGCCTTGTGGTCCTGAAAAATGCGAAAGTGGAGTGGCAAGTCCTGAGATCCACCCGCTAGTGTCTGAGGCCTGGCATCCCTTCCTGGGAGGCCTCGTGTGAAAGTCAGTGGCGTTCTGCAGACGTGAGGTCGTACTTCTGAATATCCAGCAAAATCCTGGGGCCAAACCCTTTGACAAATGAACTGAGGCTAGAAAGAGAGTCGGAGAAGTGGTTTGACAGCAGAGCTATAACCACAATACCTAACATGGGTAAGTCACCAGGTGGCAGGCTCTGAGCTAAAATTCATCTCATTGCATCTTCACGACAGTGCTGTTTATAGATAAAGAAACAGAAGCTGGCAGGGCTTGGTGGTTGACACCTGTAATCTCAGGACTTTGGGAGGCCAAGTTGGGCAGATCACCTGAAGTCAGGAGTTCGAGACCAGCCTGACCAACATAGAGAAAGCCTGTCTCTACTAAAAATACAAAATTAGCTGGACATGGTGGTGCATGCCTGTAATCCCAGCTACTCGGGAGGCTGAGGCAGGAGAATCGCTTGAATTGGGTGGCAGAGGTTGCAGTGAGCTGAAATCGCACCATTGTACACTAGCCCAGGCAACAAGGGTGAAACTCCGTCTCAAAAAAAAGAAAGAAAAAAAGAAACAGAAGCTGCAAAGCGTTAGGGGTTAGAGGACATGTACACAGGCACCCAGGTAGAAGAGGACAGTCAGTCTGGCTGCCCAGATGACAAAAGA